GAAAAAAGGATCTTCACTTGGGTACACGGTAAGATTCTTTAAAGGTTCCGGGTTTTTTTATTCGTTTTTTGAAACTTTCAACACATTTGCAAACTTTTTGTCATCTACCGAACCTTTTTTTGAGGTTCCAGAAAGTACCGTTTTTTTTTACAGTGAGTAGGCCCTTGTTGTTTAGCGGTAACGAGAATGAAAACTAAAGATCTTCAAGATATTTTTCTTTTTGAGCTTCAAAATAGTGACAGTCCAACAGAAATCTTTTCATGATTTGAAAAGTGGTTTCGGTCTTTGAACAGTCGAAAACTGGTACTAAATGATACGTAAGACCAGTTCCATCCAACTATCGAGTCCACCAAACTGTTCATATATTTATCGGATCAGAGCAATGATTCAATAAGTAAAAAGCTGATTGAATCCAAAGAAAACACTCTCAACTCCCAAACTGATGAGAGAACTCGGTCGTTCCAGACATGTTCAATAAATACCCAAAGACGATTCAGGCTATCGATCGTACAGAAAAAGAATTGAATCAGGACTTAGTAACAATCAAAAAATGAAACGAATCAAGTTTAAAAGTTGGAATCGACAAAGTTTACGAAAAAATCAAACGATGAAGATCCTTTGTTCGAATGAGAAAATGTTTGGTATTGATGGGGTGTATAATTCCCACAATGAAAGGATGAGGTTGGTTGATCATGCTAACGCCGACAAAAATGGTGGAATTAAACGACAGAAAATTCACAGAAAAAGCTATGGTTTAGTTGCATCTATGTTCTAAGGGTATTAACTCATTAATTATTTTTGATGACGTAACAGTCTATCATCCTCGTTACATAATAATAGTACTTTCAGTAGCATTCAAATATGTAAATGGAGCGTCCAGTGATGATTGGATAAATGGTGCCAAGACAAATTTCAGTCATATGTTGATAAGGATCATTGGTTCCCTTATAACCCAGAGCTAAGCTCATTGTACTACTTTATTTCGTATGAATTTGCTCGAACAATTGATTGAGGAAAAGTGGAAGTCAAACATAACCTTGGTCCAAGAACTAAAACACACAGAAAAAAATAATTCGTGAGAAACTTGATTTTCGTAAGTTATATCCGTTGGACTGACTGTTTGCATGATGTCACAAAAATGAATATACGTACTTACATTAATAAAAATATGTTTTTTGTAGAGAATTGAACACTGCCCCTTTTCAAAAAAAACAATTAGTTCAAAATGATGAGAACGGAAAAAGACAAACGAAAAATACTGACATCGCCATTTGTTTCGCGTCACCTCTTACAATTCAAAAACAGTTCTATCGAAGGTGCTTATTAACAAATTTACCTGCAAATTTGACTTGATACATAACAATTCGTAAAAAAATGATATTTAGAATATGTTAACACGGTATATTATGTTTTGTATTTACCAATCAGATATTTATTGAAGTTAGTAATACACAGAATATTGTTTGTTTCTTGTTTATTTTTAATATGATAGCTCTGGTCATAATGAAATTTGTCTAATCGTTAAATTTTGTCAAATTTTCAAATATTCTCATCATCATGGAATTAGAACAAAATGAAATTTGCAAGCAATGGAGTTTAAAACATCAAAGCGTTGTAAAATAAAAACTTACTCAATGTTACGTTTAGCATGTATGCAATTTAACACGAAGTGTCTTTGACTGAAATATTTTGAATAACACAGTGTTAATTCTTCTCTTTGTGAAATAATGAACTGAATAGAAATACATTCTTACTGTCATTAAATGAATATTTGTAATTGGTGCAAAGAAAATCATACTTCTACCATATATCGTTGAAGCATGTGACACAATAAGAACCTCTCCAGTAGCTAATTCTGAAGATTGAAGGGAATGAATACCTGATCGACCGCTGTTTATTACGAATCCATACTTTATATATAGGAGTGAAGGTGATGCAAATGGCCATGACGAAACACAAGATCGGAATTTTTCAACAAACGTAATCAAAAAGTAATGAGAAATAAGGTTGGTAAGAGACATATAAAAGGGACACCCCATATGTCATCAAGGAGAAGGGAAGAAAGGGAAAAGCCAAGTAATATGCAAGAAAGGAAGAAGCAGAACAAAAATAATGCGCTGTGACAGAAGAGTGCAGTAGAATGAAAACACTAGAGCGATTACCGGGACTTATTTTTTCGGGACTTATTTATTCTGCAGCATATATTCAACTATTGAGGATTTATTAGCTATGGTGCTGTTTCAGTACATCCACGTCCACACCTTCACTGACACAAACACCCACATCCACATCCACACCCACACCCTATAGAGAATTGCGGAAGTTGATGCTCCTGTAGCTCTCGTCTAGTTGGGCCATTAATCAAATCAACCATTTCTATATACATAAAAATAAATGTAATATATAGGAAGAGGTTGAAAATGACTCACGTAAAAATCGCAATAACAAAAAGGAAGAAAAGAATCATGAGCAATTACTATTCTTTCTACTGGTATCGATTACATAATTGTCTTTTACGTAAAAAGTGTTTTACTCTGCAATCCATAGTATTTCAGTATGAGCCACTCCATGTCAGCCACCACTTATCCTATAGAAAAGCTACTCAAATGAGGCCATCAGATTTTGCTCAATTTAAAATAATTTCACGGAGAGAAGAGTTTTATGAACTTTGAGGTAAGCCATTTTGAAAAATTTTGAATCATTGATTTTTTAGGGTGCGA